AAACAGCCATTATATAAATAGTCTTTGAGATTGTTGGGGGCAGTCACGTATTTGTGCATACTCCAAATTAAACTTTTTTTCAGACCGTTTAGGTAATATGTCATGTATTACTCATTGAATGTGTTCCCACAGTGTAGAAAATGTGAAGGTAAAGGATATTCTGAAAGTTGGATCTGTGCCAGGTTTTGTTTCTTTATGATGTAGTTGCAAGTGAAAGGACTTTTTTTTTTTTTTTGGTAATAGTATTAGTTTCTGACTTGTTTTTAAAACCATAAATATCTGTATAGTCCTTTGGAAACCTAGAGGAGTTCTCTGTGTTTGTTTATTTGGAACTTGCGTCTGAATTGAATAACCTTTAATATAAGCATCTGATCTTTGAAATGGTTAATTGTTAGTCAGCCAAGCTGAAATGAGTGTTTGTAAAACAAAGTGGAAAGAATCTTTTGTCATTCAGATTCTGTTAGGCAAGTTTCTGCTGGGTCCGTTTCTAGGTAGGACCAGAATTTCATTTTGGTAATTTGTCCCTGAGAGGTGACACATGGTAATATGTTGCAAACTGTAGATCTTTTACAAGTTTATTCATTTAGGAGCCACCATGAATTAGACTGACCCGAGGACAATATTTTTGCTGGCGTAAGCTGCTGTTGTGCGCTAAGGTGGCACAGCTAGACCAAGTCCGACAGAGCACATCTCAGTCTCTACCCAGGCAGTCGCAGCAGTAGCTGCACAGAGGAGCAAGCTCAGACTGGTCAGGTAAATTTTGCGCTAAGACCCAAAGAGCAAAACATGGGACCTACAACAAACGGTTGCCCTAATTGTGAGAGTTTCTGCAATATTTGTTTACACACAACAAAACTGCAGTTTTTCAGCTCTCACAGTAGCAACCACCTCACTTGCATCCAAACACCCCTATGAAAACACAAATTTCTGAATTGTAGCACAGATCCTGCCTTGGTTATTGGTGTTTGTTTGTATAAGTGAAGCTCAAACCATTATGAAAAGATAAATTGCTTCTTAACAATATTTATTTTTTACAAGCTAACTTGATTAACTTTTAAAATTATTGGAGTTTAAGTCTCCCAGGGAACAGGATCTGGCTGAGATGGGATTTGAGGGCTACAAGGAGGAGGATACATTACTGGTTTTGCTAAACGTGAAATGGGAATGCAGGCTACCTCTAAGTCCTTGAAGACTCCAAGGCATTTTTGTAATCTTAAATGAATACATCATTGTAAATTTCAGCTGAATGTATCTTGGGAGACCATTGTGATGAATGGCATAGATACAGATCTTTTATGTCATTTATCCAAGGTAACTAAACGCCTTTTGGTGGTTGGGGGCATCGAGGATTTTCTGGTAGTGGCAACTGGTTGTCACGATTTCTGAGAAACTAATGAAGTGAGGTTTTTATAAAAGACTGCCATACTAAAGCTTTGAGAATTACATAAGAAAATATTCTAGGAAAAACAGACTGTCCTGAAATGTTCCATACAGTATATCAAGGGGGGGGGGAGTAAGGCTTTTTAATTCAAGCCATGACAATTCTAGTTTTGTTCCCTGATGGACAAGAGACATATCTCACATTTGGAGCAAATTGCTTTCTGTGCTTTAGTGCTCTGATGGAGGAGCCATCCAGGGTGCCCCAGAGCAGACAGACGGTGGTCGGTCTGTCCTTGTAACTCTGCAACCATGGAGGGCAGGGATGCACTCTGGTTTTCTAACCTTCCCTCCAGTTCCCTAATACTCTTTTTTGTGTTGTGTTTGTTTGTTTTCCCTGAAGCCAGAAGAGTACAATGCCTTTTGCTCTTGTGTTACCTGTCTTTTTTCTCCCTTTCTTGGCACTTTTCTCTTTTTCTCTCTCCCTGCTAGGTCCCAGTGTCGTCTTAATTGTCTGACTTCTCTTTCTTTGCTAGTCTTCTCCTTCCCTTGCCAGATTCTTACTTCAGCTGTTTCTTCTTCTTTTGTCTTCAACTATTTGTCTCTGGTCAATTTTTACTTTTCTGCTATTTCAATAAGATTTTCTGACACTACCCCTAGCGCAGCGTGCCGGGCCATGTTCCCAGTATGCCGCTCTTTACGAGGTACTTAAAAGCACAGGAGAACAAAACAGTAATGAAACCTGTTTCTGGTTCTGCCACAGAATTTCCTCGCAACCTGGAAGAAATTATATCATTCCTCTGGTCTGAATTTGCTTATCTTTCTGGCAGTAGTGCTGCCAGCCTCCTTCGGGTTGTTGTAATGTGTCATTTATGAAAGTTCAAAAAGTGGTTTTGATTCTGAGTGAACAAAGCTGTTGAAGTACTTAGAATAATTTACTGTGGTTCACCACGTCTGCTGCTGAGCGCTAGTGAAATTTTGGGGGGTTTGATTCAGTTCATTAGGTAATCACTGCTTTATAAATGGTTCCTTCCATCCTCCTCTCTGAGCGCTTGGCTAGCTGGAGGAGGCACTAGTCTGTCCTTCCAGTTTTAGTCTAGCTTGCTTTGTTAAAAAAACAGAATGACTGCAAATGGGATACCCCACAAGGTGTGCAAGAGCGTACCGAGGACAAGTTTCTCCGGGCACGCAGCCTTGCTGGGATTTCCCATCGAGCAGGCAGGCCTGCCTCCTTCTCCGCAGGCATGGTGGCACGGGGGTTGGCAGCTCCGTAAAGCTCACGAGCTAGTTGAGAGCAAGTGACCATGTTGTGTCGCTTCTTCCCCTAGAATCAACAGCAGCAGAATCAACATCAGCAGCAAACAGCACCTCAGCAGCAGCCGCAGGCAGCGCCGCAGCAGCCACAGCCGCAGCAGCAGAACAGCACCCAGACCAACGGGACAGCCGGGGGTGCCGGCGCGGGCGGAGGGGGTGCGGGCGCAGGACTCCAGCACAGCCAGGATTCCAGCCTCAACCAGGTGCCTCCCAACAAGAAACCACGCATAGGGCCTTCAGGCGCTAACTCAGGCGGGCCTGTCATGCCTTCGGATTATCAGGTACCTCTTCAAGTTTTGCTGCTTCTGATACTGTAGGGCCAAAATGTCCTTTTCCCCTTTCGCCACTGCAGGAACAGATCATGTTTTAATGAATTTCTCATGTAACCTTAGCAGCTGTGCTATGATGCATTAGATAAAAATGTGGGTTTAAAGGTTTAAAGTAAAAAGGTTTTGTTCTGTGGTTAGTAATTTTCAATAGAATACCAGTACAAGTCATATCTGCTGCACCCCATAAAGTGTTGAGGACTAGTCCACTCCAGGAAAGCACTTAAATATATGCTTAACTTTATATTTGAGAGTAATCTTACTGAAGCCCATGGAACTATGTCATGCATGTAAATGCTGCATTAGATCAAGTTCAGGATACTTGGCTTTTGGCAATATTAAATCCTGCGTGAGAAGCAGATCTGAGAAGCAGAAGCAAAGTTAGAACCAGGTGCTCTCATTTGATTCCTGCTTCATTTTACCTCATACCATCACATATATGGAGTGGTTCTGTAGTTTGTTCTAGTATCTTGCTAAGTCTACTTCTAATGTTAAAGAAAAAAATGCATGTTAGCACAGGAATGATGTTTTGATTCATCAATATGATTCATGCTGAAGTAGGGCATAAAGACACGCCTTGTTTCTAATGTGACCAAAGTTGAATAGATTTCATGTTTTCCAGTACAGTAGCATTCATAAGTAAACGCAGTATCACTGAATTATTTTTGGATTTGCATACTTGTCTTTGCTTACTAGAATTTTATTTTCCACTGAAAAAGTGACTTACACTAAACATAGAAAGAATTGAACTTATCAGGGTCTTCAATACTTGAGAGTTTATACTTGCTGGGACAGTCATGAGTTGAAAGCAGAATAAGAAATAGGTGGATATTAAAGGTAGATTTTAAAAGATGTTAGGGATTCTGTCTGCTACTACCTTCAAGATGATCCCACCTTGGAGAATGGTCTTTTCAGGCTGCTTTAAACTTAAATAGCTTTTAAAAAACCCAGCTCTGAGTTGCCTTGACTTAGTCCTCCAGACCATCTCCACAGACAATTGATTTCTCGGTGCCAGACATTTTTCTCCCATTTCCCTTTTACTCTTTTTAATTACAAATGATCATGAAGGCATTGAGGGCAATTTAAGGGTAAAGACAACTAGGTTTCTTTTTTGAAAAGTTCCAGACAGGCTTGAGGTCTGGACAGATCACTACAGCTGTCTGACTACACAGTATTTATGGCTCGCCCGTTTTGGTCTGTATTTTGAGGACTGGTGTGCTGCATTTGATGATATCCATTATAGAATCCTTATACAACACTCTGAATTGTTGGCAAACTTCCCCCTTACAAGTTGCTAGCAGTCTAAATATAATTTTTTTCAGGTAGATTTTTTTTTTAACCCTATGACTCTTTCATTCTAAACTTTAACAGCACAGACATCAAAATGATGATCTGTATGTCTCCTTTATGTCACTTGCTAAATTGTATGGTCTGATTATCCATTTTTACGCTTGCATTTGGCTATCTGCCCTTAAATTCTATCTGACTGTCTTCTGTTCCAGAAAGGAATGTCTGCAATTTGTCCAAGTCTGACTTTGTTAAAAACAAATTCTCCTCTGTGGAACAAAAATAAGCATGGGCAAGTTAATGCATTCTTGCAGTCTTATGGCATTAATTTTACTCCATTATAGCCTCCTCAGAAGTAGGAAGAAGATGCCCTTTGCTTTGAGTTTCATTTAGCTTGTGATCTAAAGTCTCTGTTGAACATTTTTGTAATTCAGCAGCCTCAAGATATGTTGCTTCCACAGTGTGAATTCCTTGTTGAATTTTACTGAGCATTCTTTATGTAACGCTAGGTGTTTTGCTTAGCATGGTAAGCTAACGCTTTTCATCCAGAATGAGTTCCTATAATGTCATAGCATTTATCACCATTCTTTTTCTTTTCTGTTAGAAGTTGCAAAAACTTTCAGAATTTTGAGACAAATTCCTGGTTTCAGACACTCTACCATGCAGGCCAAGCATAATCTGGTTACTAACAGCATACGTGCTGCAGGGAGACATCTCTTCCAAAGCCAGTGTGCTGAGCTGTTATCTCCCAAACTGACCCTTACAAACAAGTGAAGTTATTCTGCACAACTGTTAGTTACATTGATGTTATAGTGAGATACAGAGGTCTGCAGGACTGGGCTGTTATCTCTCTCTCTTTAGCCTAACTCTGCTTCACCTTGAAAGCAACCTTCTTATTCCTACATTAGACAGAACACAGAAAAAGCACTCTGATATTTTTAGGGTTTAGTATGTTTTACAATTTATGTAAAATTAAAGGTATAAATCTCTGTACAGAAACAAAGGGCAGAAGCATTTTACGCTGCCTGAACTTTAGGTTCCTGCTCTTCATCACCCAGTGGAAAAGTCGCGAGGAGGCTTTTGCGGCTCTCCCGGTTGGGATCCGATGGTTAGATGAGCCCACTGACTGGGGTATTGCCTTCACTGAGCAGATTCTTGGGCTGTGGAGCGTGCGGTATTCTTACAGACCCACTGCCTCCGTGGGATTTCCATTCAGAACTCAGACTTCTCCAGAGGCTTTCTGTAACTCATAATCCTGACATTTAATCTTAACACTTTTCCTAGATGATTGCTGTTGGCCACAGTCTTGCTGATGACCCTTGGGCTTAGCCAAGTAGAACCATCAACTAGACAGTGAAGAGAACTCTACTGAATGTCTGCCTGGCCCTGCACTTAACTTGGCTGGAAACAAACTGTTTGCTGACTGCAAATAGTTTGGGGGTTTTTTTTGTAGACTCTCCTTTCTTGTGGATTGGGGTGGGGTTTACCTTGCTAGAGAGTCTCCTATCCATTGAGCAGTATTTTTCATGCAAAGCGATTTTGCAGCTTTGCATGACTTTGCAGCTCATTATTAATTCTGGACAGGGAATGGATATGGTAATAAAGGACAAATTCAGCAGACTGGAGATCGCAAATGATCCATGAATTTGGCTTGCTGAGATTGGGGTCTACTGAGCTAACATCCCAAACTGTGGAGGGGAAAAAAAAAAGCATTCAGGAAAATGGTTATTGATTGCACATACACATGCCCATCTTTAAGCAGTTGTCCTTGCTTCAAGTAGATAAGGCAGCAGGTTGAAAGACTCGCCTAAAATTATATGATTTTGTCCTACTGGACATTTTTTCATTTAGATAAACTGAGTAACTCTTAGGTCATGGTTGTCTTTTTCTCAGGAACAGAATAAAATGTTTCTCTGTAACAGGTAGTATTACCTATCTCAGAAAGGGCGTATGTGGCCTTAGCAGTTTGGTTTTGCATTAATAGCACTTAGAATAATGGCAGACGTTAAGTGTAAGAGACAGCGGAATTTTGGAATGGAGTCTGCGCTCTCGTGTCTTGTGTATTTTTTTCTTCAAAAAATGGGTGTGTACATGCTGTACTTAGGGATCTGCTAGTGACCTCGTCTATTTTGTGTGCTGTGTTAAGGCTGATTGCAGATCAGACTGACTACTTGTTTTATGAAGTAGTAACACCGTTCAGTCAGCTTCTCCAGCAGTCACGTTTTAATGAGCTTCGGAGAGGCTAAAACTTTCCTGAGCTGCCTAGTCCTAACAGGCTGGTTTTCACTCCCCTGATCCCACTCTCTTTTCCTGCAGCACTCCAGCTCACGCCTGAGTTACCAAAGCAACATTCAGGGATCTTCTCAGTCCCAGAGTACAATGGGCTATTCCTCGTCGTCCCAGCAGAGCTCCCAGTACCACCAATCTCATCAGTCCCACAGGTACTGAGAGGGCTCACAGGCTGCACTCAGAAAGGAACGGACTAAAAGCCTGAAGACTCCAGCAATATGAAGTTTGTAACGATGAGAAGAACCAAAAATACAAACTGTGATGCAGAATTAAAATTCACGATGACAAAAGGAAAACTTCGCTCACTGAAGACTTCCCCCCTCCCACCCCCCATCTCTTTATGCCATAAATGAGATTCTCGTGAAGTTTTCCTTCCTCCCTGCCCTTGCATGTGCTCCATTGTGGTTACTCTAACGAACCCTTCTGATCTGAACCCAGCACTTAACTTCTTTAACCTTTGGAATTTTGAAGGATTCCTGGTGCACCTTCCTTATGCTGTAGTGATTGCCATAAATCTGTCTTTTCAATCTCTTTGATGGGATTTTAAAGTTTTAAAATCTTGAACTCCCAGGCTTTCAAGCTTGTATATAGTTAGTTTTATACTAGGCAAACCAGTTTAGCTATACAGGTATATTGCACCTTTTTAAAGCACTATGTTATTTTCACAGGATATTACTGTTTTGCTCATGGATGTCAAGAACAGCAAAATTTTACTGTTCCAGAGTATTTTACTATTCTGTTTTTATTAGTCTAGTTTTCAGGCGAGGTCTTAAAAATAAAAAAATTAAAAAATAAATAAAATTTTAAAAAGAAAAAGGAAAAAAAAGAAAAAAACCCACCCAAGTCTCTGCAGCGACAAATATGCTTCATGCTACTGGACTGATCACCAAACAGAAGATTGCTGATATTTCTTAACTCATTCACATTGAATTCTTGAAATCACAGTGATCATGCTCTGACTAGTTTTAAATTTAGTGTTATTTCAAGTGAAACCAGGATGGACAGTCACATAAGAAGGAGATGCTTTCAGGATCTGTTGGAGCAGAAGAATGGAATGTCTTCCCAGGCTGGACACCAAAACAGTCAGCAAAATGTATTTACTGCCCTCAAGTCTCAGTAGGAATGTGGATGACGGGCTTGTTTATCTGTTAAGCAGCTGATTAACGTATGTGAGAGTTCTATACATTTAGCTTTCTTTCACATTCCTGAGTCAGTTTTCTAAGTATAAAGGTGACAGAAATACTAAGACTTGCGAAAACAAATGCATTTAATCATTTTATGTTAGGATTAATAATTAAGAGAAATTATTGTGCAGTTTTAAAAGCATGTTGAAAATTGTTCCTTTTCATGTTTATAATGCATATTCTGTGTCCCTCACATTGCTGTGATTAACCCAGATTAGTTACACCAGATGCACTTGATTGCTCTGAAATGTTTCTTTTTCCCTAGAGCAAACATGTTTTGATTGTGCCTAAGGACTGTAAGTGGATGGGTAGCTGGCAGAAAATCCCCAGTAAACAAGCAAGAGTTCAGAATCATAATCAGAGGATTATTGTCCGACTTCTGCAACCACAGTTATTCGGAGAGACGCAACACGTAATTTGGGACAGCTCCATTTTTCCTTCAGCCTTCAGAAATAAGGCTGGCTCTTGTTGCGGAAAACCTGGAAAAATGCAATTAGAAAGCTACAAGCAACGTGACATCAGGGAGCGTCTGCAGCTGGTGACCAGAGAAGAGGTGAAGTGAGAAGAGTTTATGTGTAAACGGTTTGTGTCACAGGCTTTTGTACCGCAGTGTGTTCTCTTCTGTCCTGTGTCCGTATAAAAGAGTTGTATATACCTCTACGCCTTCACACTGAAGTTGTGATCAGACCTAGCAAGATGAGTACATCTGTTTGCTCTGAGGAGAATGCTTTTCATCACAGGTAGGGACAAAGATGCTTCTACCATATTTGATCTCCCAGTCCCCTTTAGTGCCCCCTTCCCCCTCAAACATGTGTTGTTTTCATACCTTTTGCGAGCAGTTGGCTCGCTTTGGCCATGTCCACCATCATGTGATTTTGAAAACACCCAGCCTCCGTGGGAAAGCAACTAAAACCTGCTTTTGTCATCAAATGGGTAAGAAGCTGGTGAAAATGACTTGAAGTAATTTGAAGGAAAAAATTATTTCTGGGGAAAAATAATCTCCCAAAGGATACTTTCAACGTGTAACCCTTGAAATGCTATATATTACACATAACCTAGTAGCCTGTTTGAAAGAACAGATTTTAATTGTTCCTTTATTTTATTTCAGCAAGTCTGAGGTTACATTCTTTCTGTAAGTGGAACGTCTTGCCTCTTACTGATGTTAGGGTGAGGTACCTTAGAGCTAATGGATATCCAGCCAATACCATAAAGTAACATTTATTTTATATTTTTGTGACTTGAATGTCACATTTCTGGAAATTAACCTTTGGCAGAGTAATTTTTGTCCCCGCCTGTTCTTTTCACCCTTCTGTTCTCTCAAAATCCTTTTGTCTTTTCCATTACGGTTATCTAACATTTCTTCTCCCTGCTGTGACCTGCAGCTGATCATCAAAATTCATATAACGTCAGGAGGTGGTGGGGAGATGTGTTACCGTACAGTTAATTAAGGTGGGCTCTTGTGCCAGTAAGACAAAATCATGGTGTAGATTAATCTGTATGTGTGAGAGTGAGACTTCACAGCAATGTAAGGTGCTTCAACTGAGCGAGCTTCCAGCTTCTAGAGCGGCTGGCACGACCTCTCCCTGAGCTGACCTGGCGTCGTTTCCTTGGTGAGGTCTGACAGCCAGCCATACGCCGCTCCTCTCCAGCTTTCGTGTGCACACACGAAGCCGAGCCGACTTCCTCTGTCACCTTTGAACTCACAACCGGGAGGAGAGTGAATAAAAGCGAAAGTATTTGCTGTGAAACATAGGCTGTGCACGCTCTTCTGGGTCCTTCCCGGTGGTGAAATAATTTGCCTTTTCTGGAGAGCTTGATGCGCGTGGCCAGGGTGGGCAGCAGTTGTACTGGAGGAAGCCTTGCTTTCCAGGGGTCGTCCCGTGAGGTAGAAACGCTCCGCTTTCATAAGCGAGTCGTGCAGTGTGTCGTGGGAAGCCGAGACCGTGTCCTTTTTAGGTTATTTATTGCCTGTGCAGTCTCATTAGCACTCATAGCTCTGTCTCTGCCCATAACCTCTACACCCTCACCAAAGCGTTCCGCACCCTTCCCGGTGACACGGGCAGAGCTGTCTTTTCCATCCTGGTGGGAGCACAGGCCGAGCACGGCGTGTCCCACCGTGGCTCAGAGGAGACCAGCGCGTGGGGAGCGAACGCGATGAGCGGCCCGGTCCGTGTTGGTGACGTTTATGTAGCACAAACTGCACA